TAATAAGTCATATGGCTCGTATTTTACCATATGATGTAATTAACATATATGTATATTTAGGATTTAAAGATATGTTTCAGAAATTACAATAACTACTATATTAATGACTCTCATCTAAATATATATTCATGAATTTTTTTCATTTTGTTCTTAATATATATGTAGATCCATATGTTAGTGTATGTGCATCCTAAGGCATTCTAAGACCAAATGCCTGAAATTCCATTTATCAGTTGTTTTGTTAATCTAAACTTTCATCTATATTATAAGTTTTGATATGTCCACATTAATGCACCACAATCATTAGACAAAATGCATTAACATGAACATATTGTTACTTCCAATACAAATGAATGTTTAAAGTAACAAAATATTTAATAAAAGAAACTCTAGGTAATTGGACATGTATATGTAGACTTCCCGCACCCTTCCCTGGGGACTGAATTGTGGGGCCCACTCCAGAGTTTTAATAATACGGCCGTTTAACCGAATGGGGCTAGGTAATCACACTGTCTGCTGTTTTCTTTTGTGGAATTTGTTGGCACAGAGATGGTTCCACAAGTGCTTAGCCACCGAGGAGCCAATTAAGAAGCCTATATGTTTTCAGCTGATTTACCCTTTACATGAGTTTTTTGGAAAAATATTTCTTTCTAAAGCTATTAATATTGATGTTGTTATTATTGTTGTTGACATTCTGCTTGTTATAATGTTATTACTATTACTCATACCAGTAGAAAATGAAAAATAATCTTGAATATCAAGAAAATTGACTCTTTGGTGATGAAGCACTTGTGAGCCATCTGTGTGTAAAATCAATCAGTAAACAAAAAGACAGCAGACATGGCATCCACTATCCAGGCAAGAATGCATGCCATTAATCAAGATAAGCAGACTTCCACCAAGTGGCAATCATGAGTTTAATGGGATAATCTTGTGTTTGATATCTACATGCTCCAATAATTCTTCTGCATAAAGCCAAGAATCAGGGTAACAAAATGTATGTCAGACCACAGTGCATTTTGTAGCTCTCACCTCTCGTGTGATCTTCATGTGTATGAGGAGTGATGCAAGCTCGATTTCCTCAGAGTATCCATTCTTTAGGGGAACGCTGCGGTATCCTTCACGTATACACGTCACCTGTTGACGCAAATCTACATTGTATGCTTACCCTTAATAGCCACAATTATATTTTATCTTTTTCTATGAATTATTTTCCTTTTATCTATTACTAAGAAAAGTATGTCAACATCATTTCTATTAGAATAAAAATGCTTTCTCAAAGGATTGTCTCTCTCTTTTGGAGCAGTTTTGATTTGTAGAAATGTAAGAATGAGAATGAATATATTCACACTGCATACCTTTTTTCTACATGTCACAATGAACTCCGTTCATAGGTTTTGACTTATCGTACTGTATTAGAGGGAAAAGCATTCAAGAACATAGGGCAAACAAGTCGCATCTACTCAAGTTCCTGAAGGTCAACTGCAACATGTGTATTTAAATGACTGACACAAAAAGATACATCTTTCATAATTTCTATTTTACAAATAAAGACTGTCCATCATATTTTCTCACCGGGTAGGTTGCCTGGCCAATCTGGTTTGGCTCTCCAAACATGTCCTCGTCATACACCACAAAACGGATAAGTGAACACTCTGGGTTGTGCACTGAGAACATCAGCTTCACGCCCCACACAGGGTTGAGTCCATTGTCATCTGAGAGGAAAAACTTGTAATATTTTGATACTGTATTCAGGTTATAGATCTCAAAATAAGGATCTTTTCATAAACTTACTTTTTCATATTTCTGTTTATTTTTACTTATCTTATTTTCTTATTTATTACCTTTACCTTTTTTGAGAAAATAAGGAATAGACTGCAAAGGGGGAAAGGGCACATCCTGACCCAGCCTAAAGTATCACAACCATAAGACTGCAACATACATCACATGATGGAAAAGCTCCTTTTGAATCAGATGAACTACATCTTTCTCTCATATGAAATAGCCTTCCAGTTTCTATCTGTCTCAACCAGATAGATGCCAGATTCCTCCTAGGTGTCTTAGGTGGCCTCTAGCCTTAATGGTAGGGCCAGCAGGGTCCCTGCCACCTGTGATATTATGTACTGAACCCCCAAAAACTAAGTATGTTATTATTGCATTAATAGAAAATTTCTAGAAGAAACTGAAAATCTGATACAAAGCACTTCAAGATGTCCATTTTCCATTTTCTTTTTATTAGTTTCTGCTTTAAACTACTAAACTAAAAAATTATTTTGAAATTGCCAATAGACAATTAACTTACGGACAGCTCTGGTGGTGTACTTCGGAGCGTTGTCGTACTCACAGCCTATGATCTCCACCTCAACCAAGGGTGAAATGAAGCCTTTGCCAGATTTGCTCAGGTGCCGTGCACCGAATATCTGCCAGGGTGAAAGAGAGACATGTTGGCAGGAGAGAAGAGAACAACGTGAGAAATGGGACAAAGCACACCGACAGGATGAGAGATGTTGATCTTACATCAAACTCTCTAGATACATCTGTTTGCAAAATGAAGTTTTATATGATGAAAGCAAAAGCAAGAACAATTACACAAGCACAACCACTTACCATATTTCTCCTAATGTCATAGACAGTAACAACTATGGCTTTATGTACCTTTTGCCACCAACACTATTAGCCTTAGTAACACAGTGATTTGCTCTACGTACCTTTATGGAAAGATTTGCTCTACGTACCTTTATGGAAAGATTGAGGGGTCTTGGGTTGGGCAGGGTGAGGGGGTTGCCTGGGTCATAGTCAGGGTTGTTCTGGAATTCAGGTCGCAAGACATAACCACATTTGCCATTCTGCATAAACCGCCCCTCGTTTAGCTGCATAGGTTTATCTGGAAGAAGAGATGTCTCTATTCTTCTACAATACCATTACTTTTCACTAGTTTTGGAGCCAGACTCAGGCCTTGGATTACCATTTTTGTGGCTAAATCTAGGTGAATTATCTAGGAAACAGGGGAATTCACACCTAGCCTGGTCTTCTGGTCAAAGTTAGCTTTGGTGATGAAAAAACAGGAGACAAGCTAATATACCCCGTATTGTTCACAGATGAAAAAAAAGAATAACATTTCAAATACAGATATTTGCAGACTATTCATTTCTAGCAAGTATTGGATATATCATTGCTTCTATTTCAAACTTTTAGGGCACAGACAACTCGGGAACATGATTTTCTTGCAGGCTATTTGGAATCATTGTTTCTGCTTTGGACATAAATTTCAAGGCTTATACTTTCTAGCTGTGCCCATGTGCTGTTGCTTAAGCATTAACCTTCTGGTGACAGATGACATTTTACCACTACATGACAAGCAATCACCGATTCTCCGTGATATCATATTGTGAGTCCATATCTTATTACCAGGGTAAGTTCTTGCATTCCCTACAATAAGCAGAACAGCTGAGCCATGTGGTGTGCCACCATGATATATGCCAGGCCTTACCTCCTCTCCTAAAAAAAATTCTGGTAATTATTAGGTTAAAGTGCTGGAACAGGGCTAGGCCAGCGCTTAATGTTGGAAAGTAATTCCCCAAGGAAACTGGGCAATGTGAATGGTTCAGGAACCAGTAAATGTTAAACAAATTTTCAAAATTCTGTTCATCATTTCTCTCTATCACTCTTTCTCTCCCTCTTCCTTTCTTTTCCAATGTTTGCTCCTTTAACAACCTTCTTCAAAACCCACCTCCTGTCTGGTAGTTGAGGGAGACCATTTGGCATCCATGGTTCCACATGGGCACTGGGTTGTAGTTGGTGGAGTCCAACCGTGACGACTTGGGGTACACACGGCTGAAGCCAACCTGTGAGTCAAGGGTGGATATATTATTATCCTCTTTCTCTTTCTCTCTCTCTCTACCACAATGAGTAATAACAGCATAATGAGCAGTTCAAAAATGATTTAGTAATAAAGTTCATAATAATAATAGTAACCAACAATAATAAAAAAAAAAAGGCTAAAAACAGACTTTAAAATATCTTTAACAACACATTCTGGCCCACCTTATGGAACTTGAGCAATCCTTTAGGGGAACTGAGGATGAGGCTCTCCATTCTGTTCTCAGGGAAGGACGAGACCTCATTGTGTGTGCCCCCGTAAACAAACTGCTTGCTAGGGTCACACCGCACTGCTCGGAAGTAAACTACCAAATTGCTCATCTCCTGCTTGATGCGCTGCTCTGGTTTCCTTGTCTGTCTGGTCTGGTTCTGTGGAATGAAGGAAGGCATGAGTAAGGGGCTTTCAAAATCCGGACAAGATGTGTGCTTTTATACATCGAGTCATTCTAAAAAGCACAGTATGGAGAAGCTAATGACTTGCTATATCTCGCAGACTTTGAGCAGTGGTGGGGGAAGCTTCACTTTACTAAGTTAAGGAAAATTTCTTTTATACAGTAAAAGACACTATATAATGTTTGCTATTCAAATCACAAAGGAACCCAAAACTTACATCATCCAAACATCAACCCGAGGGAAAGTATCTAACCAGAAAGAACACTGTAACAGGAACACAAGCACCAGCAACAACAACAACAAAAAAGGATGGCTTACCACAGCTGCTGGTGAGGAGACGCTCTCAATCTTTTTAACCCACTCCTGTGCTTGCTGCTCTGAGGTGCAGGCCAGCTCCACCACCTGGCCTGTTTGTGTAGTCAATCTACAAGGAAGAGAATCATTCCACAAATCACCCACACAAGATCAATAATAGTGACATTTATATATTGGCATCAATAGCTGAAAAGAAACTGGTGGCCATAAATGGTTCCAAAATATTGATCAATAATCAGTTTTGGCAACAGACAGCCTGCAATGTTGGGCTATCAGGATTGACTGTGAAAATACTGATTAATATTATTGAAGCTACCATATGTGATTAATAATACTAACATGTCAATATCATAAATAGAAAATTAAACTTATTTTGATGTCAACATATTGACCAGTCCTTCAATTCAACTCAACCATTAATTTAATACATATTACTGATTATACACAAGCTGTGACATGTACACAGAGATGAATAGGAAAGCAGCCACAAAAAGAAATTAAACTGAGTTGTGACTTTGAATGTGCCAAGGGTTCCTCATCAGACAGATAAACAACTGGTTATCGATGAATCTGATGAGGAACACTTGCCTATTTTGGGTAGCCTGAGAAAGGAATAAAAGCAAGATATATAAAAAAATCTCAAAACACACATGAGGATGTAACAAAGAACAAATATGGAGTGAGAAATAAAAGAAAGAAAAAGAAAAGGCAATAGAGGACAGGGAATTAAAAAACAAAAAAAACATGAGATTACGTGGAAGAGATGGAGAAATAAAAGGAAGAAAAGAACCAGAAAAGGACCAGAAAAAGAAAAATGGAGCAGGAGAGAACAAAGAAGAGACTACGGATAAGCGACCCACTTTATAATGGACACAATGCCCCAGCGGTTGGTTCCTGTGACTTTCTCGATCTTGGTGCCGGCCCTTGAGATGTCAATGCTCCCCTTCTGCAGGCTACCCAGGACTTGGTTGTCTCCTCCCTGAATAATAAAAGGTAATAAAGGAATAACCCAGTAAAACAGATGAATCAACCAAAAACAAATTAATAACTGACAACTACAAAAAAACTGCCCAATACTTGATTATCTCCTCCTAAAGAAATATTTTTTAAAATTACAACAAAAAATTTAATAAAATAAGAATAAATTTGTCTAGCTCACTCTCTCCTCCATATTCTCTGGCTCAATCTCCTCCACGAAGATAGCTGGGAACCAGTGCTGCCTCCGTCCCCCGTAGTCGCCCGTCCACCACTCCTTCTCTGCTTTTATCACATTCTGGATGATGGCATGGCGTGGGAAGGTCAGCTCATCGTCCTTGTTGGCACGGTAAGAGTACTTGGCCTTTACATGGATCTGAGAGGGAAGGAAGGTACAGGCTTGGTTGTTTTCATTAAGGTGGTTGAGGATGAAAGCATTGTACATAGGCTGTAGCAAAAGTGTGAATGATAGAAGAAAATGGCAAAAATTTATGTATCAAAGTCTGTACTTTATTTCTCAGGGTTTCTGTTTGTCAAACTGGTGAGAGAGAAGGCGATTAATGAGAGTGAACCAAAATGGTGATAGCTTACATTGCTTACGTAGGCAGGATCCACTACATAACCACCAGTGCCATCAACAGGATCCTATTAAAGGGGGAGAGAGAGAGAGAAAAAAATAAATAAATATATAGAGATATAAAATAAACACTTTATCCTTTTCTAAGATATAAGACAAAAAAAGGTGATAGCATAATGAACATTTGAGTAAATAGTATTTTTCCAAAACTAACATTTCACATCATCACCCACCATATCTTGGAGTCCTTGGATAACACGCTCTGTCACTGGGTATCGCAACTTGACCCGACGAAAGAGGAAGTTCCGTTCATAGTACTTGATCAGCTCCACCAAGCTGTCAAAGGTTGCTGTGCCTATGATGAATGTGCCATCCTCTTGCTTTACTCGGCAGTGCTTTGTCCGTCTCTCTGCTCTGGATGTTAATTAGGAAGTAATGAGCAAATGGAGTTCTGGCAATGTGGACAAATATCCTAATATATACATATTTAAACCTATCAGTGCCTAATGTTTACAATAAACATCTATAATAATGATGCTGGCTTTGCCTCATCACTCTCCACTATTAACTCACTTGAATGATATGGCTATGCTCCCTGCCTCTCCACTTGGCCGAACCAAAAAGGCCCCGTCCTCAGGTATCCTCCCAAGGTATTGCTCTGCCTCATCTCTAGTCATGTTAGCATGGTACCACTCCATGCGCTCATGGCTGTTTGGCTGTGGTACAGCTTCTCCCAGCTTTACTGATACTTCCTGGAAAGTTGAAGGGAAAAGGACTTTACAGATACGGTTTCCTATTTCTAATCAAGAATGAACTGATGTGACAAGGCAAACTCTCATTCCTATTTCTGTCTATTAGTCTTTAACTTCCTCTTTTCCCCCCTCCTTCTGACTCTTACCTGTGACAATATGGGGTAGTGCTTGTAGTGTTCAATCAGCCCATAAAGTGTGTCAAAGGAGTCATTGTCTTTGAGCCAGTACCTAGTGTTGTCGCCTTCCTGTCGGACACGAATGCGGCAGTGACTAACCTTGCCTCTGTACCTGAAGGGGGTCACAGGAGAAAACAGTGCTAAATTACAGTGCTGAATAACTTACAAAGCATTACACACAGTACACAATGCAGTGGGTCCAGGTTCGGTAAGGCTGGAATCTACTCAAGAGTGTACAGTTCCTATTCCTATGCTGTTGTCTTGATTACTTACATCAAACAGCATTGCCAATGGTATGATTCAAGGCACTTACTGATAATCTACATTAGCTGGAGAGTGAACTTTTTCCTCTAGCTTTTTGTGGTTTCAAAGCAGAAATGTGTAGGATTAGAATTAACATCTGTAATGCCAATAAAAGCAAGGGAATTTTCCTTTAACAAATGAAGATTCACTCTAAGTGGTATGAACAACACAGTAATGCTACACCAAGACAAAAATCAATACATATATATAAAGGGAAGATAAGGAAAAAAAGAAAAGAAAATGTCATGCAATATACACCAAATCTGGCAACAAAGTATTCTTGGTTACACCTAATACCCCTATTACAGGTACACACTATTACTTTCTAAAGAAGTACTTACCTTGTTGACTGATTTTGCCGATAAGATTGGTTGACATCAAGGTCATTTAATTCACTATGCCAGATGACTAATCACATCATGGCGAACGAAGCCAAATACCAAGAGACGCGCCCATGCACAGTCAAGCATGCTCTAAGTAGTGCATGCTAGAGACCCATTTGTTTGTTTGGCCTTGACTGTGGGCATTGAGGAGATACAGTCCTCTTTAGTGAGAACATGTATATTGTCTGTGCTTTTAATTCCTAACTCAAGTGGCTGACAGCATGAGAAGCCTAACACATGGTGTGAATAAAAATCCCATGATGAGTGGGTTAAATGACTCAAAGACTAGATCCACTACATAACAAACCTTGGCCTCTGAAACTGCTGAAGCAAAACTGCATGAGACCTGGGGAGAGGGAGGAGGGGAGGAAGGGAAGAAGGGGGGTGGAGAGAGAGAGAGAGAGAGAGAGAGAGAGAGAGAGAGAGAGAGAGAGAGAGAGAGAGAGAGAGAGTGTATGCCCTTACCAAAACGTGAGGGTGTGATCCCCAACAAAGTTTTCAGAAAAGCGCACGAGGAAGGTCCCGTCCCCGAGATGGCTGTTCTGGTGGACCAGCTCCTCGGCCTTTGCCCTTCCCCCTGGCAGCCGCCCGTGATACCAGGGTTCATGCAGGTGCCACTCTTCCTCGCTCACCTGCACGGCAAAGGGAAAGAGAAATCACATTTTCTGGTGGAAAAAAGACAACCTCAAGTCTGACAATACTTAACTGAATGAATTTGTGCTTTTGATGTTTAGTCCAAGTTGGCTCAATGGAGCATATGCTTTTAAAAACTGTTGGACTGTGCCCCCCCCCCCCCCCTTCCCCTTGTAGCCCGTCATCTCCATGAGCCAATAATACAAGTACCTCATAGGGCCTCTTTCAGCATGTGCATGAATGTAGGAAGTATAAAATGAATATTCTTTAGCATGCATGCAAACTCCTCAAAAACAACCATCATAGCCCCTCCCTCTTGCACCCCTCTGTAAATTTATCTTGTGGTCTACTACTGCCATTTTACTAAGTATACAAAGTGATATATATTTTATTGCTTTATTGCTTCATTTTCTTATTTTATTATCCCTGTCTGTCTGTCTGTCTGTTGCTCTCTGGCAGAGATAACATTTTTCAACTTTGATGCTCCACTGCTCAATAACTATGTGACATACCATCACCTAACACATCTTCTGGTGAGTGAAACCAAGCTCTACAAACATCAATTTAAAAAAAGAATTTACTCTCAATCAAAAATATATAATCTATATGCAGATCAACTACAAAGCTATGAAGAAAAATGTTATCATTACATACAATACCTATAAACTGAAATAGGCAGATGAGCTGAACACTTGTAATGAAAGGCCAGTCTACCTAAAGTCCTGCCTCCACCAACCTTTTCCAACTTCGGAACCAGGCAAATCAGAAAATATCTCCTTTTGGCCAGGTCTAGGCATCCTATCTAGGGAAGTATGGAAGCAACCTATATCCAGATTCAGTTTCTATTGTGGGCAGTAATGATATATAATTTTCTCATGAAAACCATGAAAATCTTTTTGAAGCCAGTATAGACCTGCTAATTGTAGTTCTTGCACTGTGAAGATGCCTTTTTCATTCATACCTTCTTCTACATCTGTTACAATGAACATAAGTGAAGATCTGGACATTTAACTCACCAGCTTCACTTTTTTAATGCACAAAACCACCATCAACACAAATCCTAGACAACAATACTACAAATTCAAACCACAAAATTCTGCCCCAAATTAAGAACATCCTACAGCCCTTCAACCCACTAAAGTCCCTCCTCACACGCACATCATTAAGCATCCTACGGCCACTGTGCTGGTCCTCGGACTCTGGCTCTTCGTTTTGCAGCTCAGTGAAGTGGAGACGGTCCTGGGTGAGGGCAAAGAAGTGGGGTTGCCAGGCAGTCTGGTCCACTGGGTTCCTGAGGTAGAGGCGATCACCTTTGAAACTCAACTTGCTCAGGTCCATCTCTCCTCCAACTGTGGGTTGCCAAAGTGAAGAACATGGCTTTAATAAAAGAAGGTAAGTTGATTTCCATTTAGTTTAAATGGGTCTGTCTCCCCTGCACCTGAACCTGCCAAAGGGATACTATCTCAAGACACTATCCAATAACTGTGATAGTTTTGCTGTGGCCTTGGGAGCCTGTGACATTCAGGATTTTAAATAGGGATTTTAAGTCATATTTCAGAATTTCTGTGCTTTATTTTCTGGAATTCCCACATGTTATCATCACTTGCAAATTGGGTTTCTTAAAGGTGCAGTCTCTTTGTTAATCTAAAAAGATTTGCATCTTTGTTGATAGTAACATTTTCCTTTCTGACTGTGAGAGAGATATCTTTCAGGAAGTTTATGTAAATGTATTTTCTATCATAAAAACTTTATTTTCCCCTTTGAATGCATTTCCAAAAAAAAAAAAAACTTGAGTCTGAATATCACAAGTATCACTTTAGAGCTTTTGGTCTAAAAGTAATTAAAAATTATCCAAAATTAAGAAGAGGGAATACGATAAATAATAATAATAATAATAATAATAATAATAATAATAATAATAATAAAAAAAAAAAAAAAAAAAATAAAGATGCAATACACTCACACTCCTCATTGCTAGACTGAGCAACAGAGTCATTGGCATTGCAGATGGGAGGAGTAGCCTCGTCCACGCCTTCTGGAAGCTTCTTATGCTTAATGATAATCTTGCGCTTTAACTGCTCTGGGGACGGCATCTCCTGAAGGGGACGTAAATATTAAGCATTAGTTGGATTGACAGAGACAAGAAAAGATTGACATAAGTGGGATGAAAAAATACAATTTTATTCTGAAAAAAAAAAAAAAATAATAATAATAATAACAATAAAAAAAAAAAAAAAAAAAAAAAAAAAAAATAAATAAATAAGTAAACAAAAAATCTTGATATACAACAAAAACTGCACACACCTTTTCATTAGGGGATAGAGGAGCAGTTAAGAGCGCATCCCCAAACACCTTTTGGAATTGCTCAGCCATTTCTTTCTGCTGTATCATGCTGCAATGCTGTTCTATGGAGAGTATCACAGGGTATCTGTAGGAGGTTGCAGAGGGATTGCTCATTAAAGAAAGGCAGTGGCTGAAGGGTAGAGGCAGCTATATGACAAGCAGATTGCTGGTCATACAGTCTGGCATTGCAAACAAGATTTAGATAAATGGTAATATCACGAACTGGCTCTTGAAAGAAATTTACTGCCATGACAACTAACTTTCTTTAACACAGATATTTGTATCAATCTAATAATCTGGTTCATGAACAGGAAACTGCAGGTGGCATTTATATCAGCTGAGTTCTAGCAAGAAATTTCCTCTAGCATGCTCACACAAAAACATACACCAATTTGATGCTTGTGCAAAGGGTCGACATCATATCAACATTTCTCAAAATCTTTTATAAGAAGAAATAATCTATATTCTATTCAAACACCAAATATATATCTATCTTTATATTTTACAGCATTAGTAAACATCAGTTACTGGACTTTACCCTACACAGTATGTAACATGCTTCCATTACTGCCTCTGGCCTCCTTGTCACAAATGAAGCCATGTTATTTTAACCATTCTTTTCGTGCTTCTAATGTCATCTTCACCTGTAGCTGGTATAATAATAATAATAATAATAATAATAATAATAATAATAACAATAAAAAAAAAAAAAAAAAAAATAAAGATGCAATACACTCACACTCCTCATTGCTAGACTGAGCAACAGAGTCATTGGCATTGCAGATGGGAGGAGTAGCCTCGTCCACGCCTTCTGGAAGCTTCTTATGCTTAATGATAATCTTGCGCTTTAACTGCTCTGGGGACGGCATCTCCTGAAGGGGACGTAAATATTAAGTATTAGTTGGATTGACAGAGACAAGAAAAGATTGACATAAGTGGGATGGAAAAATACAATTTTATTCTGGAAAAAAAAGAAAAAAAAAGAAAAGAAGAGGAGAGATGAGAAGAGAAGAGAAAAGGTGAGAAAAGAAGAGGAGAGATGAGAAGAGAAGAGAAAAGAAGAGGAGAGATGAGAAGAGAAGAGAAAAGAAGAGGAGAGATGAGAAGAGAAGAGAAAAGGTGAGAAAAGAAGAGGAGAGATGAGAAGAGAAGAGAAAAGAAGAGGAGAGATGAGAAGAGAAGAGAAAAGGTGAGAAAAGAAGAGGAGAGATGAGAAGAGAAGAGAAAAGGTGAGAAAAGAAGAGGAGAGATGAGAAGAGAAGAGAAAAGAAGAGGAGAGATGAGAAGAGAAGAGAAAAGAAGAGGAGAGATGAGAAGAGAAGAGAAAAGGTGAGAAAAGAAGAGGAGAGATGAGAAGAGAAGAGAAAAGGTGAGAAAAGAAGAGGAGAGATGAGAAGAGAAGAGAAAAGGTGAGAAAAGAAGAGGAGAGATGAGAAGAGAAGAGAAAAGGTGAGAAAAGAAGAGGAGAGATGAGAAGAGAAGAGAAAAGAAGAGGAGAGATGAGAAGAGAAGAGAAAAGGTGAGAAAAGAAGAGGAGAGATGAGAAGAGAAGAGAAAAGAAGAGGAGAGATGAGAAGAGAAGAGAAAAGGTGAGAAAAGAAGAGGAGAGATGAGAAGAGAAGAGAAAAGGTGAGAAAAGAAGAGGAGAGATGAGAAGAGAAGAGAAAAGAAGAGGAGAGATGAGAAGAGAAGAGAAAAGAAGAGGAGAGATGAGAAGAGAAGAGAAAAGAAGAGGAGAGATGAGAAGAGAAGAGAAAAGGTGAGAAAAGAA